TGTGGGATTTTGGGTACGTTGTACATTTTGACGTTGAGCTATTGGAATAGTTTTTTGTTGGATTTGTATATATCCTTTTGATGGTTTTAGAAAGCTCTGATGTTTTCGAGTCTTGTTTAAGTTTAGGCTGCGTCCTTTGGGTGAAAGGACGGCCGTGTTACGATCCCGTTTTGGTTGTATTCGGGGTGTGACATTTGTTGGTATCAGAGCAATAGGTTATGATTTTTGGGTGGGACGTTGTGAGATTGTGTGATAGACTTTAATGCGTTAGTTTTAGATACTAAGGTGTATTCTTGATTCTGGATTTAGGTAATCATGAGTTCCGACTCGGAGCCGCTCATCTCTTTTCGTAAGAATAAGGGAAAGAGAGCCATCACCTTTGACTCGAGAGATGTGCCTCGAGGTCCGAGAGTAAGGTCTCCGACAAGAAGGCGAGATGACGTAGGAGCAGACTCGCAAGAAATAAGAGGGGAAAGTCAACAGCCAAGGGCCCAAGACGTTGTAGTTGAAGCTGGTGAACCTGGGAGTGGCAGAGGCTACACCTTTGCCCAGTTTAGAAAGTCAAAGCCGCCCACTTATGATGGGAAAACTGATCCTCTTGTAGCTGAGCGATGGATTAGGAAGATAGAGGGAATATTCAGAGTTGAAGAAGTTCCGAATGATAAGAAGGTGGACTTTGCCACCCAATATTTGGAAGGTGAAGCTGAGTATTGGTGGGAAGGAAAGAGGTCCACTCTTGGAGATGAAGATGCTACTATTTCTTGGAAGTACTTCAAGGAAGCGTTCAATGCCCAGTTCTTTCCAAAATCCTTCCAAGCAAAGATGAAGGGCGATTTTCTGCATATATCGCAAGGTGATTCTTCTGTTTTAGACTATGCGGGTCGCTTCAATCAGATGAGCAGGTTTGCGGGGCATTTTATGGCAAATGAGAAGGAGAAAGCTGAACATTTTTTGAGAGGACTTCGACCTGAGATTCGTTTTACACTCGCATCTCTTTTACTCACCACTTATGAGGATGTCCTGGAGCGAGCAATTAAGATTGAACAAGAGATCATGGAGAGTGGCACCCAGGGTATTCCTCAGCCCAAGAGGCCGAAGTTCACTAATTTCCAAGAGATTCGTATTCGTGACAACAACAAGCAAAGAAGCACTAGTAGGTTTGAAAGGGGGAAGAGTCAAACTGTTCAGGGTGCTTGCGTTACTTGTGGGAAATATCATAGTGGCCAATGCTATTGGAAGCGGGGAACTTGTTTTCTATGTGGGAAGATGGGACACATGCGGCAGAATTGTCCAATGCAGAGAGATACTCCAGCAGGTAGTAGATTATGCTTCGTTTGTGGACAGCCTGGTCATATAGCTCGCTTTTGTTCCATGAGGAAGGATGTTCCCTCAGTTGGTAGGCCCCAAGAGAATCAGCCAAGACAGAGGGCGACAGGGAAGGTTTATGCGATGACGGAAGAGGATGCGGCAGCATCTAACACAGTAGTTGCCGGTAATATCTCAATTACCTCACAATATGCTTATGCATTGTTTGACCCTGGCGCTACGCATTCTTTCATTTCAACTGAATTCGCAAAGAAACTTGATATGCTACCTGATCCTCTTGAATATGAATTGCGTATTGAGACTCCTACGGGTGACTTCGTTATGGTGGACCGTGTATTTAAGCAATGTATGCTTTTGGTCGATAATGTTCAAATGCCTGGAGATTTGATGTTGTTGAATATTCGAGATTTTGATGTTATTTTAGGGATGGATTGGCTATCAACATATCATGCTACTGTTGATTGTCATTCAAAGAAAGTTACCTTTCGACTCCCAAATGAGCCCGAATTTTCTTTTTCGGGAAGTTGTAAGGGTACTTTTCCAAGATTAATATCGGCAGTGCAAGCGAGGAAGCTTCTAAGGAAAGGTGGTTATGGATATCTAGCTTGCGTAAAAGACACCAGTAAAGAAGTTGTGAAACTGGAAAATGTTCCAGTTGTTAGAGAATTTCCTGATGTGTTTCCTGAGGATTTGCCCGGCTTGCCACCCGATAGAGAGATTGAGTTCTCTATTGATCTGATGCCTGGTACAGGACCTATCTCGAAGGCACCATATCGGATGGCACCATATGAATTGAAAGAATTGAAAACACAGCTACAGGAATTATTGGATAAGGGCTTTATTAGGCCCAGCGTCTCGCCTTGGGGAGCTCCAGTCCTATTTGTGAAAAAGAAGGACGGTAGCATGCGGCTTTGTATAGATTACCGTGAACTCAACAAGGTAACGATCAAGAATAAATATCCTTTGCCACGGATTGATGATTTGTTTGATCAACTTCAGGGAGCTCGGGTATTTTCTAAGATCGACCTTCGGTCTGGATATCATCAATTGAAAATTAAAGCAGATGATGTATCTAAAACTGCTTTCAGAACGAGGTATGGGCATTACGAATTTCTTGTCATGCCTTTTGGATTGACAAATGCGCCTGCTGCTTTTATGGATTTGATGAACAGGATATTCAAACATTACCTCGACCAATTCATTGTGGTGTTCATTGATGATATCCTGGTGTACTCGAGGAGTTTGGAGGAGCACGAACAACACTTGAAGCTTGTCTTGCAGACCTTGCGTGAGCAGAAATTGTTTGCTAAATTCAGTAAGTGCGCTTTCTGGCTTGATCATATTGAGTTCTTGGGTCATGTTATCTCGAAGAATGGCATCGCAGTTGACCCAAAGAAAGTTGAAGCGGTTGTTCAGTGGAATCGCCCTACCAATGTAACAGAAGTGAAAAGTTTTCTTGGACTAGCTGGCTATTACAGGAGATTTGTGGAGGGATTCTCCAAAATAGCTGGTCCACTTACTCGCCTAACTCAAAAAGGGAGTTAAGTTTGTATGGTCTGATCAGTGTGAGCGCAGTTTTCAAGAATTGAAAAGGCGGTTAGTGACGGCTCCCATATTAACCTTACCTTCAGGAACCAGTGGCTTCACAATTTATTGTGACGCATCTAAAGAAGGTTTAGGGTGCGTTCTTATGCAGGACGATAAAGTGGTGGCCTATGCTTCTAGACAGTTGAAGACACATGAAAGGAACTACCCCACTCATGATCTTGAATTGGCAGCAGTTGTATTTGCTTTGAAAATATGGCGACACTACTTGTATGGTGAGAAATGTGAGGTCTTTACTGATCACAAGAGTTTGAAGTACATCTTTACTCAGAAAGAATTGAACATGAGGCAGAGGAGATGGTTAGAACTCTTGAAGGATTATGACTTATCCATCAATTATCACCCAGGTAAGGCAAATGTAGTAGCGGATGCCTTAAGTCGTAAATTTTCTGGAAACATGGCAATGTTGCTCACTTCTCAGCAACCTATCCTTGAGGATATGAGGAAGCTAGATTTGGAGGTGTTTGTGCATCAATTAGGTGCTCAGATAGCTAATCTTCGAGTACAACCGACATTGATCGACAAAATTAAGGCTAAACAGAATGATGATTCTCAGTTGGGAAAGATCAAAGAAGGCGTAGAAACTGGGAGACAGTCGGATTTTAGTATTCATGTAGATGGGTCATTGAGGTTTCGTGGTCGGCTATGTATTCCTGATGATCCTGAGTTGAAAAAGGAAATATTGCAGGAAGCTCACAGCACTAAATACTCGATTCATCCAGGAAGTACTAAGATGTATAGAGATTTGAGAGGACATTTCTGGTGGGTCAACATGAAGAAAGACATTGTAAAGTTTGTCGATCAATGCCTGGTTTGTCAGCAAGTAAAGATTGAACATCAGAAACCAGGTGGACAACTACATCCACTTGAGATACCTAAGTGGAAATGGGAGCATATTACCATGGACTTCATCGTCGGTTTACCGAGAACGCCAAGCGGTAAGAATGCTATATGGGTGATTGTCGACCGGTTGACTAAATCGGCACACTTTTTATCGTATCGATTTGGCCTTTCACTTGAAGACATGGCTAAGCGATACGTCAATGAGATAGTGAGACTTCATGGGTTCCAGTGAGCATAGTTTCTGATCGAGATCCTAGGTTTGTATCCAACTTCTGGAAGAGCTTGCAAGGGGCGTTGGGTACTAAACTCAACTTCAGTACGGCTTTTCATCCACAGACAGACGGGCAATCGGAGAGAACGATTCAGACGTTAGAGGATATGCTACGATCTTGTGCTATTAACTTTGGTGGTTCATGGGATGACCATCTGCACTTGGCAGAATTCTCCTATAATAACAGCTACCATTCCAGTATTAAGATGGCACCTTTTGAAGCAATGTATGGTCGAAAATGCAGAAGTCCGGTTTGTTGGGACGATGTTGGTGAGAAGAGGTTGACTGGCCCTGAGTTTATACAACAATCAGAAGAAAAAGTCAGGTTGATTCGAGAGCGACTGAAAACAGCTCAAAGCCGTCAGAAAAGCTATGCAGACCTTAAAAGGCGCAAGATAGAATTTGATGTGGGAGATCACGTGTTTCTAAAGGTTTCACCTATGAAGGGTATTATGAGATTTGGCACTCGCGGGAAACTAAGTCCAAGATATGTGGGACCGTTCTTGATATTGGAGAAGATTGGTGAAGTTGCTTATAAACTGGCCTTGCCACCAGCGTTATCTGGAGTTCATAATGTATTCCATGTATCTTTATTGCGAAAATATGTGCCAAATCCTGAACACGTATTGGATTTCACTCCTTTGAGGTTAAGAGAAAACCTGACATATGAAGAACAGCCTATTCGCATTGTGGATAAAAAAGAGCAAGTGCTGCGGCGACGTATAATCCCTTATGTGAAAATTCAATGGCAAAATCATACTGAGAGAGAGGCCACATGGGAGCTTGAGGAAGAAGCAAGAAACAAATACCCTCATTTGTTTGAAAGTTAAGGTAAGGCTAAATTTCGAGGACGAAATTTTTTAAGGAGGGTAGAATGTAATATTTGCCTCTTCTTTTGACCAGGTCAAAAGACTTAGGCTGAAGGAAAAAAAAAAAAGAAAAGAAAAGAAAAGAAAAGTCAAAAAGTGAAGATAAAAGGAAGAAGCAGCGGCTGGTCGGGAAAACAGAAGAGAAAAACAGAGGAGAAGAAAAGGAAAAAGGAGAGGAGAAAGGGAAGAAGAGAAAGGGAGGGTTTGTGCGCGCGGGTCCTCGCCGAGCCGTTCCGACTAAGTAACGCAACGACTAGTAAGTACTCGCAACCCTCGTTAGTCCTATCGGAATAATTTTTCGATTAGGGCTCGGAAATAAGAGTTATGTGGATTTGAGCTGCGTAGTCCAATTTTTGGGTTGTCAAGTCTTAAATATCCATGAAAATGAAAGATTATGGTGTTGTGGGGCTGTGCGTTTTGACGGATATCGATTCGGAGTTACGGTTTGTCCGGAATCAAATTTTGAAGTTGAGAGCATAATCTGGAATTTCGTGAACAGTACTTTCCAGGGCTTTGATTGTTGTTTTTGGGCTGTTATTTGGGTTGGCTGTGTTGGGACATCCATAGTATGCTGGATGGGTTTCGTTTTGACTATAAGAGCGCGCAAAACGGAGTCCGGTGGAGGAAGTTATGGCGCGTGGAAATTTGGCGCGCGAGTTGTTCGTTGTGGTTGGCATTAGATTTTTTCCATTGAGCAAGCCGTCGTAGGCTCGTGGGTGTCGGATTATTGGCTAGTTAGCCTTAGCTTATTCGAGTCGCGCGTTAGGGGTAAGTATTACTCGGTTTTGATTCGTTTTTCCGTATGTTTGATAGGATTTTGGAACCGTCGGCTCAAGTATCACATATGGGTTAGTTGTGGATTACCAGGTGAGGGACATTATATCTTCTATGAATTTACAAATTCATATTTTGATAATGAGATATAATTTTTAATACAGTGGAGCATGTTTTCTGCATAAATTGGATCGATCATTTACTACCTTTTGTCGATTGTGAAATGAGTTGAAAAGTCTGATGACGTTATTGAAATGAAGCTTTTGTGAATGCTTATATTAAAGGTTTTGTGAAGAGGATTAGCCGAGGGCTATTCTTGTTGTGAAATGTTTTGTGAAATGGATTTATTGGTGTTGATTATGGATTTCTAGATTGAGTTATAAGTTGCTGCTGCTCGTATTACTATGTTGAGAACCCGTTGAGGGGGGAGTATGCATACTGTCAGGATATCCTTCTGGGCCGAACCGCCGGCTTATAATAGGTGGTAGACCTTGCCAAGAGGGTTAAACTTGGTCGCCTTTGTCACGGCGTTAAACTTGACCATAGTTTGATTACGAGCATGAGATTGGTTGATGGATTGACCATCAACGTGTTATGTGATGAGACTAGTCAATGGATAGACCATTGATGATTGGCTATTGTTGTTAAGTGAGTTTTTATTGAGAAATCTGATACGAATGACTTTTATTGAAAAGTTATTATACCTTTGAGATATTTTTGGTTATATTGTACATTGAGTTTGAGTTATGAGCTGTGATATTTTTATGCTATTGCACAGTAATTGTTCGACCCACTTAGAAGAAATATGTTACTCACTGAGCCGTGGTAGCTCACCCCTTATCTTACATACCTTTCAGGTTCTTCTGCTGGCCGCAAGTAGGGCGTGAGCGGGCGTTAGTCGGAGGATTTCTTTTTGATTGTGGGATTTTGGGTACGTTGTACATATTGACGTTGAGCTATTGGAATAGTTTTTTTGTTGGATTTGTATATATCCTTTTGATGGTTTTAGAAAGCTCTGATGTTTTCGAGTCTTGTTTAAGTTTAGGCTGCGTCCTTTGGGTGAAAGGACGGCCGTGTTACGATCCCGTTTTGGTTGTATTCGGGGTGTGACATGTCCAGCCTCACTTCCACAACTGGGCTCAAACTTATGGTAATTAACATCCCCGAAGTTGACTCAGTTTATCGATGTAAAGATCACAACATATAGTGTGCGTAGTACTTTCCGACCACCCATTTGCTGAGAGGATGTGATGTGTCACAATTTGAATGTATTTCAAGTTTATTTATCTGTTAAATTGAGAGGATTGTGATTTGTATTTCTTACTGAGAACAGGCTAATTTTTCTTACTCTTCACTCTGTTTACTTATAAAAATTCAAATATGTCGCAGGGAGGAACTTCTTGGGGTGGCATGGCCCTCAAGCTTTCCTATTCATCTCCGATCTGGACATGGTTAAACAGGTACTTAACAATAAAGACCACACTTTTTCAAAAATTTTGGACCAAGGCCAAGTGAAGAAGATTTTAGGTGATGGACTTGTGACATCTGAAGGTGAAAAATGGGCAAAGCACCGAAAGCTGGCAAATTTCGCTTTTCACGGGGAAAGTCTGAAGGTACATTTGAATATATATATATATATATGTATATATAATTTGACAGAAATTAGAGTTAGTGAACTAATTTTGTGGGGGGATAGGACATATGAGAGCGCTTTTCAAATAATGCATATGATGGAAAGTCAAGTCATTTCATTTGTAGAGTATGGTTCCGGCAATGGTGGACTGTGCTCATATGATGATCCAGAGATGGAGTTATCGAGAATGCCAAGAGATCAATGTTTATGAAGAATTTAAACTGTGCACATCGGATGCCATATCAAAAACTGCATTTGGTTGCAGCTACATTGAAGGCAAAAGTGTTTTTGAGAACTTGGTCAAGTTGGGATTGATAGTCGCAAAAGCTTCTTCACAAATAAGGTTACCAGGAGTCAGGTAATTAACTTTTACTCTAATTTAATGGCAAAAGAGAAACTAAGAAAAAGGGAAAACTAAGATGTGCCAGATTTTATGACATGGAAGCTAGAGAAGCAATCTGACATATGAAATCGAGTGATTTTTCATCCTAAGTAATGCAGTCATTATTCTATGTGTGTCTGCTTTTTGGTCTTTTGGACTATTACAAAGGATAGGACGCAATAGATACAAAACCACCACCTAAAGTTCTTGTATCTCATACTTTGGAAGATGAACATAATAATTGGGTTTTGTAATACTTGCCTACACGGCTTGTTATCGTTACAGTAAGCTCTGGAAACCGACTTACGAGCTTGAGGCAGAGAAACTTGAGACAGGGTTACGGGAAGCTGGGATAAAGATTATCAACAGGAGACAACAGAAGATGAATTGCGGAGAGAGAGAACTATAATGATTTCCTAGGGTTACTTTTAAAGGCTACGCATGATGCCGACGAGAACAAGAAAATCACATTCGACAATGTAATTACTGAGTGCAAGACGTTCTATTCTGCTGCACAGGAAACCACAAGCTCATTACTTTCATGGACAGTCTTCCTCCTAGCTATTCACACTGATTGGCAACAAGAAGCAAGAAAGGAGGTCCTTGATGTCCTTGGAAATCGAGATCCCAATTTCGATGGAGTTAAAAAGCTCAAGAAGGTAAGAGAATGTGATTTTAAAAGAATTTCCATTGAAGACAGCTAATAAATTTCTATATCCGAAAGCTGTCTAGTAATTCTTGTAATGAGACTATTCTTGTTATGTGCACATATTCTTCTAAACCAAAGAACAGCACCAGCTTTTCTATCTTCTTATCTTTTCAAAGCATGCTCGAATATTTTTCTCCTCGTGAATGACTTTGGCATTTGTGTATATTCAGATGGGCATGTTCATAAACGAATCTCTTCGCTTATATCCTCCAGCAGTCGGTGTCCATAGGAAAGTTACTAGGCAGGCAAAACTCGGCAAGCTCGTTCTTCCTTCAGGTACAATGGTATACATACCAATCCTAAATATTCACCACGACCCTCAAGTTTGGGGAGATGATGCACGTCTTTTCAAGCCAGAGAGATTCTCAGAAGGAGTTGCTAAGGCTACAAACAACAATCCGGCGATATTCCTTCCCTTTGGCCTTGGACCCAGAAGTTGTGCAGGTGAGAATTTCGCGACAGTTGAAGCTAAAATTGTCCTCGCTATGATTCTGCAGCGATACACTTTCACTCTCTCCCCTGCTTATGTTCACTCCCCTGTCGACATTCACTCTTCTCGCCCTCAATATGGAATTCAGGTTATTCTCAATTCAACATAGTGTGAACTGTAAAGATGTGTATGTGTAAGTGGGCGAAGAAACATGTGCATACTTTCGCTGGTTTGTAAGACTTAATCGAAACTCGGACCATCTGCCAATTAATTTGGCAGAGATAGGTGCCTTTCCAGATTGAGATGACGCAATTTGGCTTCTTGAGTGCAATCTCCTGTGATTGTTGATTACGTGGGTGTTTGATAAGGGTATGCCGCTTTTCTTTTGCCCATACCATTCTATCGAGATTCAAAGACTGTATCATATTGTGACAACACAATGATTGCACGGAACTAAACAAGAAATTAAAAAAAGTTGGTTAATTAGGTAAATAAAAGTACTAACTCAATGGAAAAGTTGGAAGTTAAAAAAATAAATAAACTTGCTAAGCAACTCAAGTGAGAGTGGATAACCCTAAAACGGTAAAAAAAGTTGGTAAGTCATTCTAATTAAGATTGGCAATTTGATATAACAATTGGTAAATTTTAGGATTTGACAAAAAATACTTAAGTCAAAGTTTTATAAAAGATAAGACGAGCTTTTTGACAGAGATAAGAAAAGTTTGTAATTTAAAAAAAAAAACAATATGCGTTGATGACTAACTCACATAAGAGTTGGTAATGCAAACTAGTTGACAACTTAATCAGAGAAAAATTAGTAATCACACTTATTAAAGTTGGTGACTTCTAAAAGGATTTTGTAACATTAATGATTCGATCACTTGAGTACCTCAATTATTTAATGAATCACTTGGGTTTCATAATTTTTTAAAGACGTTCAACACAAGCGCTATAAATTTTAATACCACGTCGAATTTTCCAGTAAAGGAAATCGCCGATATCACTCAAGTAAACGATAAAAATTATGGTACTCAAGTGGTCAATTGAAAAGTTATGACATCAAAATGGGTGCTGTGCAAAAACTATGTCAATTGTGATGTCCTTTCTCTCAAGTTTTAGTATGTCCACGATATTGAATTTATTTTGAAACTATTAAAATAGGCAGGGAACTTCAATGGATAGAGTAATGATTGGCGCCGGCCATCTTCCCCCCTCTATTTTGCATGTAAGAGAAAAGACAATTTAAAACATCCAAATTTAAAAGTATGTATATTAAATGATGTGGCGGATTGCAAAGAGTCAATTAAATAAGTGAGTCATATTTAATATCTAATAAGGTACTCCCACATCATTTAGTATATAGATTTTTGTAAACCAATCTGGATAAACATAGCATTTCTCATTTTTATATGTCCTTGTTTTCATCCAATCTAAAAGATGGAGAAACTTTTCTTAACACCTAATTGGTTGGCTTTTGGGCGAGATTTTACACCGAGCGACTTTCACCATATACTTGAAAGCACAACAGAAACAATCCTTTTTTTTTTCTCTGCCTCTGCTCCTCTCTTTCTCTCTCACATCAGCTGCAGCCCACTCGACCCATCCCCAGCTCACCGTGCCGCTGGTGGCCTATCCAAGCTCCCATCGGCGCAGCCATGACGCGAGCTCGGACTAGCCATGACACCCCACTGTCGTTCGGGGGCTCGGGATGGCTTTGCCATGCGGTGGATTGGTCCCACAGTCTAGACTGTTGGGCATGACGGGGACGAGTGTTGGAGATGGCACGAGCACGAAAGTGGCAACGGTGGGGGTGGAGCGTTGCACCGGTTTGCCGGGGGAAGGGAGGGGGCTAATTTTGGCATTTCTTTTGTTATTATTTTCTGCTCTATAGTTAGCGTTATATTTGAATCATATCCAAACATGTAACTCACCAATCAAACGCTAGCATGGTCCACTTTTGTATGCCTATCGACTACCATTAGAATGTTTCCTACCGTGGATAACTACAAGTGATTTTACTTATCCGGTCTTCATTGTGTCCGTAACAATTTAATTATGTTACTCTAATTAATATTTATTCAAATTGCACCTGAATCTCGTGCCCGGGTAAAATTTAATTTTATGCACTTAATAGTTGATAACCTCCATGAGTTAATCTCATGCATATACTCCACTTGCACTTATATATTTATCTGAAGTGAAGCTCTAATGACAATATCAAAACTTGCTCAAACTTCTCCTGAGGATTTTGTTAAAGAAGGTCAAACTTTCTCACATGGGGCATGCTTTCTTTTCTTTATAAGGAATAAGTGCACTAAAAGTCCTAAAACTTGTTACGAAAGTACAATTGACTCCTAAAACTTTCAACAAGATCAATCAAGTTCTAAAACTTGTCAAGACAGCGCAATCGAATCTTAAAACTTTCAAAAGGTGCAATCAACAGAAGAACTTAATTGGACCAATTTGACAAGTTTTAGGACTTGATTGCATTTTTTAAGGTTTTAGGACTCAATTGTATTTTTGTGAGAAGTTTTAGGACTTAATTGCACTTTTTGAAAGTTTTAGGACTCAATTCCACTTTCGTAATAAGTTTTAGGACTTTTAGTACACTTATCATTATTTATAATTACTTGGCACCGGCAATTCAGCAACAAAAGTAGCTATAAAACAATCCAATACAAGTTGAAATTGTTGAGAAAACCCCTATTATGTTTTGAAGTTCACAAAATTATTCATGGTTTATGTCGATCTTCATAAATGTAAGAGTTGGTTGTATTTCAGGTTGTATTCACGTTGAAAAAGAACTTTGATATTATTGGAAAAAAGATTCTAATTGACTAGAAGAACCAATGTGGAGCACACATAATCTTAGATATACTAATGTTAAGTGTACAGGATCTACATCAATATCAAAATCAAAGTATCTTTATGAGAACAGTTGAATAGATCTAGGAAGCCA